ACCCCCCCCCCCCCCCATTATATGGCTATAACACGTAAAAGCCGTATACTTTTCATCGTTAGAACGCAAGACCCTGGAAAAATTCCTTCCTTTTCTGCACCGTGATGCATCAGTTGTTTAGTAACATCTTCCTCTTGTCTATGCATCTATGTTACTACAGTCTCAACAGCTGTGATGTACGACAAGTCTCTCAAGGCCATTAGAGTGAAAGTCCCAAACTCAGATGAAGAATTCTTACTGCATCCTGCAACTGTCAGAAGAAACGACCGATCTGCTCAGAGTGTGGTATGGAAGACATGTAACCCCTCGGTTTCGGTTCGTCGTTAAATATTTTTTAGCTTTCGAGTGTTATTTTCGACGGTTTAAATCACAGGATGAATGGACTGGAGAGCAAAAGGTTCAATATGGGGATATACCAGAAGATATCGAACCCGAAGACATACGGCCGATGGGAAACTACGCCGTCTCCATAACCTGGCCCGACGGGTTCAGCCAGGTAGAATCTAAAAGGAACAAACTTTATCAAGAATCCGAGGAATGGGCATGGAAAGATTGAGCCTTTCATTCTCATTCTTGCAGATTGCCCCATATGATCAGCTGGAAACAATGGAACGGTTGGTTGATGTTCCTCCCTTGTCTCCACTCGAAGTCTGAAGCTTAACAAAAACGACACTTTGTTGCCGGTTCGAAGGTGAATTCCTGAATCTCCAAGGGTGAAGGAAGATGGAATTTCTGTACATGTAGATTTTTGAATCTGGGTCACATTCATTTTCCGACATGAACATGTGTGGTAATAATAATCTTGAAGAGGATCTTGTGATTGATATTAAGTCTCATTATTCCCGCTTCTTAAAGATCCTCCTCGAGTCGATTCTTTCATGCCCACTCAAACAGAGGGTTCATATTGAATCATGAACAAAATTTCATCTCGACTTCATAGATTTTTTAAAAAAAATATGTTTTTTTCGTAATAGAAAAGTTAGATCTAAAAATAACCAAAGTTTAGATAAAATAAAGAAAAAATCCCATATAAATAATTTTTAACTTCTTAGAATATATCAAATAAATATTTAATTTTTAAAATATTAAAAAGTTTCCCATTAATATCTCATTTTCTAAAATTAAGGGTAATTTTTAATTAATCAAGACATTTATCCAATTGTTCAAAATCTTCTAGATCGATTTGAATCTTGGTCGTGAATTGATTTCAATTTCATTAGTTATTAATTTGACATAATTTCAGAAGTTGGTATATTAATTTGGTACGTTTTAGCATTTGAAATAGTATTTTGTTAAATTAATTTATTTATTTGATATACTTTGAAAAGTTGAGCTATTCATATGAAATTTTTTTCTAAAATAAAATCTGAAATATTTACCTTAAATTTCAATATGGATTCAAATCCGAATGACACAAAGGTTCCATTTGTAATTGATCTCAAATGACTGACTATTTCATGTAATGTCATTGCAATTTTTTGTCTAGCATTTGTTGTACCAATTGTATATCTTTGGTACAACAATTAAAGGCGACGACTTTGTAATTCATGCACTTATTTCTAAATTGTTCTTAATTGTATTCATTTGGGTCCGGTCTTATTAGAAATAATGTCGCAAAAGAAAAATAAAACCGTCAAATACATCATTAATGTTCAAAATAATCTAATAAAATTTTTAAAAAAAATGCATAGTTTTATCTATGCATTGTTATCTTAGTCTACGGATTAGGTAACAAATAGATAAGTTTCGTATCATTTTCGTAATTAATTTTGAAGCAACGGGTTCTCTCTCTCTCTCTCTCATACAGATGAGAGTGGACCATGTCATATAGTTTGTTTGTTTTTCGATTATTTTATATTCAATTAATTTGATTTAACATATATATATATAAATATAATAATTTTAATTAGACCCCATTCTATTTGATAATATAAAGAGATATATTGTTTTATTCATTTTTACACATCCAACGGAAATATCTAATCTCAATTAATAGATTCAAATCATCAATGCACTATATAACACAATCAAACATCATTCGTTGTCCCTAACTTAGGACTATAAGATAATTAAGCTTTTCAAGTCCGCCTACCATGGTAGTTGTCAACTTTTATGTCATGTCTAAATTTCACCATCAACTACTCGTTCCACATATTACACGAAATTATATATATAAAAAATGTTACAAGTTTTTTTTTAATGGTGGACGATTCTGTATTCGGTTCGGTTTTTTCAGTTCTATAAAAATATACACCACTCGGTTATTATATCATATTCGATTCGGTTCGGTTCAATTTCGATTTTTATTAATAAAAAATATATTTTTTTACAAGTCTTTGATCCTTTCGTAGTGAATTTTGAAAACATATGACTTATATAACTTGTTTGATTTTGCTGCAAGATAAAAAAAATCGGTATTGAACCGAAAAATTTGATATTCTTTCCAAACCGAATCATTCAAAAATTAACAAATTTAAAAAAAAAATCCAAAAAAAACTGAAAATTTCGTGTCACCATTGGACCACGTGGTGGTATGTATGAGTGTCTAAGGGTGTGTGTATATATATATGTATATATATACATATATGAGTGTCTAAGGGTGTGTGTATATATATATATATATATATGTGTATATATATATATATGGGTGACTATAAAAGTGAAGGCATAAATGAGAAGAAGAGGAGTAGGAACCGGCAATTGAAGACGAACCTTTGCAAGAAAGGCAAATTGGTTTTTGGTATTTGCAATTATCTCTGTCCCTTTCTTTGTCTCCTTTTGGCTTTTATTACTCTCTCTCTTGTTTTTTTTTAAAATTAATTAATTCAGAATAACATATGAAAACCATTTTATTTTATTCACTTGTAGACTTTTTTTTGGTTGAAATGTGAAAATATTAACTTTTTACAACTTTCGTGACACCGAATCTGTCCGAAGATATGGTTTCGCTTTTGCTTTCATTACTCGTGTGATAGCGTAGGTATTGTCAAACAACGATCATATTGTGATTCATTATTGCTCGAAATTGTTATATAATATTCTTTAACAAAAGAATTGTTATATAATATTTGCATTAACTTATATTAATGTTCTAATTTATACTATTTTGATATTCAACGCAATTTTTGCGTGGTCTTTGAACAGATACCGCCATGCCCATATCCCTAAATCTTGATTTTCACTTTGAAAATTGAAAATATATATTTAATTTACAACATTTCTTTTGATATGCAAAAAAAAAACTTTTTTTTTTTCATGAACATGAACATATTTTCAGACGTGTCTTTTCTATATAAAAAATAATTCATATGTCGTAATACAATATATTAACTTATTAAGACAATATAAACATTTAGCTATATATATGTTTAATCCTTGTTTTCTCTTTTCCATTCGATTTTTTTTCAAACACACAGTACTATAATTTATCGTTATTAAGACAAAGTTTACTATATATATATAAAAAAAATTGGTCTAGTGATTTTGAAATTTATTTATTGTTTTACTTTGGCACAAAAAATACTATTTATGTTTTTTTTTTCATCATTTTTTTTTTGTTGCAGATTGAGAATATCTTGGGACTGGTTGGTTCTGTCTGAGTTCTCTTTTCAAACTCTGGTTTTATCATTTTGCTGTGGCATTGGCAATTAATTATGTATTTCTGATGGAAAAAACCGAAAATAATAATAATAATTCAGCAAAATGAAAAAATATATATGTTCATGCTTTTCTTGTTTATCCTTTAATAACCACTCGTAATATTCATTTTCGGTCCAAAAATAGGAAAGAGCAAATTCGTTAACCAATAAAAATCCCCACTTATATATATATATATATATATGTCTGTATATGTATAAGTGGGGATTTTTTTTTAATTGGCGATCACAAAAAAAAAAAAAAAAAAAAAAAAAAAAAAAGATGCGTGGTGGGGGGAAAGGCCAATAAAGAAACGTTAAATGGAGGGTAGAAAAGGTGGGTCTTGGAGTTGTCCGCATTTAACACTACACGACAAAATACGACTTTTTGCTACTTGTCTTTTAACTCCATGTAATAACTCTATTATATATGTAATTCAATTTCAATTCACTCAATTGTTTTTGGTAACGGGTGTAACCCAACCATGGTTTATTATTGGGCAAAGATAATTGTTTATTTCCCTTAAAATACCATATTTCTATTAAAAATAATATAATTTAAAAATATTTCTATTCTACCAAAAGATCACAAAAAATCTTTTTTTTTTCGTAAGACATTTTATTTTAGAAACATGATAATATAGAGTTCTGGATTAGAAAAATGGAGGAGATAATATTTATAAATGTAATTGATTCTAAATAATTTATTTTTATTTTTATTCATTTTATATTTCAATTCTGTTTATATCCAACCCTAATACAGTTTTATAAAATAATGACCTAATAAAATGTATGTAATAAAATAGAAAGTTATATATCGTCGCACACAAAAATATGTGTATATATTATAGGAAGATATTATTCTTAGAATATTATCATTAATATTGTTATGATTTATTCTAGATTTTATGTCTAGAATATTCTATTGTATTTTGCTATATATTATGATGTATTCTTCTCATTATCAATAATAGAAAAATATTTCCCTATTATGGTATCAGAACTTCGGTTTTCGTTTTAGATTTTTTTTTTCTCATCAACAATGGTGGTTGAATCCCAAAGCGACGATGAAGATGATGATATATATTAAATCCAATAGTATTATCATCTTGAATATCGTATTTCAATCACTTTGCTCTTTTTTTTTAATTTTTTTTCGACGACAGTGTTCATCACTACCTAACTCTAGCCGATGTGCTACTCTTTTTTTTCCGAACGACGTTCGTTTATTGATTTCAACCCTAATCGTTGTGAGATCTTTACACATGGTATTTAGCCCTTTCGATTGGAAAACTCCGATCGCCGATCCACGTATGTATTTACGTCCCTTATTTTTTTTATCTTGCTCCGCTGCTACAGTATCGCGCATTATGCGTCGCGCTTTTGCGCCTATTTTTTTTTCTCCGGCCTAGCCGCTATATACACCGCAATTTTTTACGTTGCCGACTTCATTGTCGTGCAACCCAATTCACGCATACGCGTCGCACATTCGTGCCATATCAGCCTCTGAGAATACAACTCTCAAGCTCTTCAAACGATATCAAACAACATCGACTCAAGTTTGAACTACACCACCAAATGGAAGATGATTCGTTTAATACGATCACAATTTCAGTTTTTCAGTTTTTATGTAACAAGATTGAATTCATCATAGATGATTCATCTTGAGGAGGCATATAGGAAGATATTATTCTTAGAATATTATCATTAATATTGTTATGATTTACTCTAGATTTTATGTCTAGAATATTCTATTGTATTTTGCTATATATTATGATGTATTCTTCTCATTATCAATAATAGAAAAATATTTCCCTATTATATATAACTGATTTTGATTTTTAAACTTTGAATCGATTATTATTGGGAGATTAATAAGAATATAATATATTAATAAGAATATATATACATATATTCTTGGGACATAAACTTTGTGTGACTCAGTAGACAGAAAAAAAAACACAAAATAGGTCAAATTTCATAATAGTTTTTGATTTTTTGTATATACATATATATATATTCGAATATTAGAAGAGGACATCGAGAAAGACAAAACCCAACTTTTGGGGATTGAATTGAAGGTATTGTCGAGATTCCCCGTGTGTGGTTGTGTTCTCTCGTCCACCAAAACCTCATCCTTATCAAAACAAAACTAAAACCTCAAAGAACAACGTCAATGAATCCGCATTACGAAATTAAAATTCACCATTATAAATTTATATATTTTTTTCCATGCATTTAAGTATACGTATTTGGCCCTACAATAATTTAATTTAAAATTTATTTTTTTTATAAGTCAAAAGGATACAAACTTTTTTTTTCTTATCTTTTTACCGATTTTTTTTTATAAAAAATTTCCTGTTTGGTGCCGAGATTGACTCCGCCGACAGCTGGTCTTTTGAAATATAAATAATGGCTATTGTTGGTATCTATTTGTCATGGATACATTAATTTTAATTATTGCAATTTGATCCATAATTAGAAAGATATCACATGGCTTTTGCCTTTTTGGACCCAAAATAAAAATCGTGGAATCGGAAAATATTTAATAAAATTCATACACATACTATTTTTTTTTTCTATGACTTTCTTTCTAAGTAGCATTGCTATTTATTAATAGCCAAAAAGTTATCATTAAAAATATATTGAAAATTATGGAGAGTTTACAGTTATGTATTATAAAATTATATTTCTAATAAGATTAATATTAGTATTCTGATAGAATTAGTTTATAGTTTCCTAATGATATTATGTTTACTTTTTATATATATATTATTTGGTTCATTAAATGATACAATTTTTTATTCAGCATATATAGCTTAACAAGCAACATACATTAGTTTACATGCCTGTAATAAAAGGAAAAAACAACATTCTTATTAATTTGAGAAAACATGTACCGTATATACATTATTTTTATTTTTATAAAAACCGTATATACATTATGATATAACTACAAATTACATAAGAGATGGATAAACAAGCCATAAATGTTAGTATGTACAAATGCGAGCCTAATAAATTCGGTAGTTGAAATGCAAATTAAGAAGTTCAATAACCATAAAACCCCAGCCTCTCGGTGGCCATGAACGCCAGGATCATCGGCTCGGGAGACCGTACGATGGTCCTGGCTCATGGATTCGGGGGAGACCAGACGGTATGGGACAAGGTTCTTCCGGTCCTGTCGGAATCTTTCAAGATCCTCGTGTTTGACTGGCTCTTCTCCGGAGCCGTCAAAGACCAAACCCTTTACGACCCTTTCAAGTATACTTCCTTCGAACCCTTTGCGGAAGATCTCATCCTTCTAATGGAGGAAATGAGATCCGGATCCTCGGACCGACCCGTGATCTTCGTCGGACATTCCATGTCGGGTATGATCGGCTGCGCTGCTTCCGTTAAACGTCCCGAGTTGTTCGAACGGCTTGTTCTTATCGCTGCTTCTCCAAGGTACGTTTTATGATGATCGCCACTTGAATAATGCTTAATATAATTTAGTTAAAATAAGATTTGGTCAGAAATTATTTTGTTTGTTCTTTGTTTTTTTTTCTGATGGGATTTTATTAATTCTTACCCCTTTTCGCAAATAAAAAGATCTATAAAATTTTGTTGAACTAAATTCTAAAATATTCAACAAGAAGTATAACGAGAAGATCGACCGGTTTTATTATGTATATATTCAATTATCACATACTCACGTGGTTTTTCCGTTATTAGTCGGACCAAAGATTTAGATATCTGCTTTTAATTTTGTGTCATATATGTGTGTATATATACACACACATATATAACCAAACCCTACAAGAAAAGACACTAGTAGCCTTTTGGGGTGGATACAACGCAACATCTAGGTCTAATCCTGAGACATGCCTAACCCACCAACGGTTGGTTCGATTCTAATAATTTCATGTATTATTTTTTTTTTGTGTATTTTACGATATAGTGTTAAACTGGAACCGTTCTATACTCAAGAGGTGCATGTTAATAATACATATATACATGTACAGATAGAGAAACATATTTAAACTGCCATTTATAATTGAATCTATGCAATTTATTACGAGAATTATAAATAAATATATAAAAAAAAACAAGAAGATCGACCCACGTTGTGTGTAAAAATGGATTGGAAAGTTACGTTAAAATCACAGCTTTCAGTTCTCATGGTGAATAATATACTTTTGATGACTTTTTTTTATTGGTAAATGATATGCATATTTTTTTTATGACAATTATATATATATATATGTTTAATTTATGTTCATGGATGAGATGACAATAAAACATAAATATGAAGAGTTGATATGGCATGGTCAAGTCGTGTTCGTTAAAATCCAAGAGCTCGACATGTGGACATGAATCAGTTGGATGGATATGTCGTAATTCTTGTCCCCTTGCTGTGCTCAGATATCCCACACACGTTCACACATACACATGTGTATACACACACATATATATATATATATATATTATATGTGTGTGTATGTATGTATGCTTATGTACGTATACACGTAGAAATATATATATATGTGTGTGGAATTTGCACATATACACACATCTGCCAACTACTCCATGTCATGTTTTACATTGTTTGTGTCCACCGGTCCACGTCACATTTGATTAAAAACATTAATTTCATGTTCTCTTGTTTCCGTATTTTCGGCGATAAAAGTTGTTCACATTTAAATGCAAGATTGGGAATTTTATCCCTTATTATTCATTTATTGTTTATTTTTCAGTCATTAATTTGTTAAAATAAATTGCCGGTCCCTCTCAATCCATAGTTTAACTTTTGTAATATATCAATATTTTTCACACTTCTTTTTATTGGGTAACAAAGAGTTTAATTCGACCTTCAACCCAACTAATTTCTATATCCGGAATCAAACGTTGATGGAGATAATTTTTTATTTATCTAAACATTTTTCCCCATATTTGAATTCCAATATAAAATAAAAACATATTTTTCATGATCTCTTACCACCAAACCATCAAAGTTAGGATTTTTTTTTCACATTTTAATTTATTATCCAGATTTAAACCAATATATGATGATAATAATGTTTTTAGTTCGATGTTTAAAGCAATTAATATTGATCCCTTATAAATATTAAAATTACCTTGTTACACTAAGTTTAATTATATTGGACCGTCTCAAAGTTACGGGAGGCCCTGTTCAATATATGTAAATGATTTACATATATATATATATTTATAAATTAAAATTAACGTATTTTATAATTTTTTTATTGAAATACTCTTATATACTAATAAGAAAAATTAAAATTAACTTTGTTTATAATTTTTTTGATTGAAATATTCTTATATACTAATTTGTTTAACGTTTTTCTAAAATATATATTGATTAAAAATTATTTATATTTGTTATCAAATTATATTTTTATTATGTTTCAAAATTTTCAAAAAATTTAAGATTATTATAAAATAAAACAAATATACCGTAATTTAATCAGATTTAAACTTTTTTTTATATTTTTTTCTTTTACAATGAATTTTATCTTTTTATTTAAAACCCATATAATTATCAAATTTTAAAAATAATTTTTTTGAAAAAAATGAGGCCCTAAAAGATTGGGGGCCCTGTGCCATGGCACCACTTGCACACCCTATTAGACGGTATAATTAGTTTTCCAGACGGATAATATCATTGTTATACTAAATATTTATGAGTTTATCATTAGTGTATATATATATATACACACACTCGCGTCAAATAGTACCAATTTGCAAGTAAGGATTCTCAATCGTGCTGGGTATTCTCCTTTTTAGATAGTAAAATATTCCGAATGGTTTAGTTTACTTTTCAACGGATGTGCTCAATCGTTCTCTGTATTTCTAAAAAAATTCGATGATTTCTTTTCTTCCATAGTACACCGTTATCTGTAGAAATTTTTTTATGATACTTCTCGTACCTCTTCCCTCTTATTGTGTTGCGTTCTCTACCCAAACCATGCATTGATCGATTATCATTAGTATATTGATTTAAGATGCTTAAATAAATCAATACACCGAATTAATCACTCGTTATTTTGTCAAACATTTACATGCATGCATAGGTACATAAACTCCGAGGATTACAAAGGAGGGTTCGACACAAAAGATATAGATACGATATTCTTCGACATCGAATCCAACTACGAGGCTTGGTCAACGGCCTTCCCATCGGTCACCGTTGACCATAGAGACTCTGCCTCGCTCCAAAGGTTCGTGAAATGTCTAAAGAGGATGAGACCCGACACGGCTCTTGCCTTGGCCAAGGTCGTGTTCGCCAGCGACGAGAGGGAACTGCTCGGCCACGTGTCACTCCCTTGCCACATCATACAACCCGGAAACGACGTCGTTGTGCCGACCTCCGTGGCGTATTACATGGCGGAGAAGATAAAGGGGAAATCGACGGTGGAGATCATCGGAGACGCCCAAGGGCATTTTCCTCAGATGACGTCACACCTGGAGCTGCTTGACGTCATGAGGCGCATTCTGGGGTTTTGATGTTTAAATCTTGTTTCGTCTGTATAATAATAATAATATTTACCAAGGTCTATAAGTACTTGTGTGTGTATTTAGTTGGACCGCTAGTATTATTCTTAATTATCATATATACATATGGATTGGAGTGAGATTATCTTATTTCGTCTATTATATTCGATTTGATTTTGATTTTTATTAAGGAAAAAAATATATTTTTTAAAAAAATTCGGTTTATTCTATTTGATTACGGAAAAAAATTTGATTTTTATAAAACCGTTACCGTTTGAAATAACGGTTCGATTAAAAAATAATACTAATTTTTTCGGTTCAGTCCAATGTACGGAAATGCTGTCCTACGCATTCACGGAAGGGTTCGGGCTCATAAGGCCGAAATTAATTGGGCTTCAAATGGGCCCAAAGGAAATGGACGAAAACCTGCTACCTCATTTAGAGTCTTAGAGAGTCGAGGCGTTTATGCCTGTGACGTATTTTTTTTGGGCCTTTTTTTTGTGTTCCTCCGCGAATATCGCGTGAAACAAGACGATGAGAAATTTGGCAGTTTCATCAGCTCGCATTTTCTTCAAAAATCCTTCCTTTCTCTCGTCCTCATCTCCGATCTCTCGTTTTCGCTGCCTCAGATTCTCTGTTCCCGGTTTCTTTGATCCCCTCTCGAATCTCTCGATCTCCGGTTGGCGAACTTTCACGGCGATGGCGGGAACTGGCAGCGGTGGCGGCAGCGACGAGCTCGTCAGAGGAAATGTTTATCCGAATGGCGTCGCTGTGATCACTCTCGATCGACCAAGAGCTCTCAACGCCATGAATATAGGTCCGGTTGTCTCTCTAGCTCTGCGTCCTTCATGATTTTTTTTGGGTTTTTTTTTTTCAAACAAATTGGGATTTTCTAGAATCGGAATGCATTTTTAGATTATGTAATCGAATTTCGATGATTATGTTGTGGTGTTTTCCGAGGTGAGATGTTTCTGTTTCGTGTTCCAATTCGATGAATCAGACTCCGAGATGTTGATGTCTTTACATATCATCTAGTTTAACCTGTTTGAGGAATCAAATTTCGGAAAGTGTGTTTTGTTTTCCATTGAGGAACATCAATTTGGCGAGGAAGCAGAAAACATCAAATTCTTGTCATGAAATCTATCAAGTTCAATCGTTAAGAGCTCTTGTGGGTTTTTATTATGTTGCTTAGTTTGGTCACCATAAACAGGTGCTGTCTCCTCTCATGTATTGTTAAATTCTGTGACACAGTTGTTTTGTTTATGGTGTAACAGATATGGATTTGAAGTACAAAGGTTTTCTTGATGAATGGGAATCTGATCCCAGGGTGAAATGTGTTCTCGTCGAGGGCAGCACGGCTCGGGCCTTTTGTGCAGGTGAGAAAGAAGACATTTTTTGTTCTTTAGGTGGATGCTAGTGTTTTTAGATAGTAAAGACATATCGAAGTCCTGTTGCATTTGGCCATGTCTCATAGAGAATAAGGCACATTGAGACTAGGGGTAATGCTTAGTTTCTTGTCCCCTCTAGGAAGCTTCTGTAGTGACCATTTACGAATGATGCAGGGATGGATATTAAAGGAGTTGTTGCAGAAATCCAAAAGGACAAAAACACACCTCTTGTGCAGAAGGTTTTTATACGATGCTTGCATCATTAATCGTAGAGGATTACGTCATCATGTCAGTCCTTGCTCATCATTTTCTTCAATAATATCGTATCATATGAAAGAATTATGCCAGTTAGTCAACTTTCTTAGTCTTTCTGCACTATCGATGTTTTAGAGTGGCGGGTTTGGGGGGGAGGGGTTGGAGCGACTTTCGCATGACAGGAGACTTTCACTCACTATCTAAACAAACTGGATATAAGATTAATAACTAGTGTCTTAGTTTATCTGCAGGCGGGGATGTGAAGCAGATCACAACCAAAAATCAATTGTCAGATATGGTTGAGGTTTGGTTGTGTACTCTTAGTTATATGTCAGGAAGAAGTCATAATAATTTATCAATGATGAGAAACTGAGTAATGTGAAAACTTCTTCATATGATATTCACATCAGTGCTAAAAAGCTTCATGTTTTAGAACACCAGTACTAGTTAACACAGCCTCCTTAAACTTGGGTTTGTCTCGCCGAACAATAAATTGTTAGGCATCGTCGACCATGGTGAGATAAGTGGACCCGTTAATTAAATTGATGAATGCTTCCTTTAATTTTCTTGGATTGGTTCTTCCTAGAACTACTCACCTCTATTTGAAGGTTTACTATACCTTAGCTTAGGTTATGTTACAGGTTCTCACGGTGTCAATCTCTTGAGCATAGGCTAGTGTACTTTCGTGATGGTGTCCTGACTTGTTATTTTGCTTCCTTTCAGGTATTTACAGCAGAATATACACTGATATGCAAAATTGCCGGTTATAGAAAACCATACATCTCTCTAATGGATGGTATAACAATGGGATTTGGCCTTGGCCTTTCTGGACACGGCCGCTACCGAGTGGTAACAGAGGTACAAACAGTGAATCCTTCTTCTGAAAAGTTCTGCACCTGTTGTGCGGGTAAAGTAAGAATTGCATTTTGACTTTCTTCTCTTTCCTTCTTTCCCATTCCCAGAGGACAGTCCTTGCAATGCCAGAGAATGGAATCGGTTTGTTCCCAGATGTTGGCTTTTCATATATAGCTGCTCATACCCCCGGAGGTGGATCTGTTGGTAAGATTTTCACATCTCCGAGCAGATCTGTATTTGCTTAGATCGTTGACTTATTACACTGCCTGAAGTTGTTTTACTCTAGTTTTATTGAGAGGGATAAGCGAATTGGCCAAAATCGAACTAATACCTACTTAGCTAATTGCTGACCTGCTTATCTGTTATTAGAAGTTGAAACTCCAAAGTTGGTTAATGTTACCATTGCTGACCGGGCACATTAATTAACTGCTCTAATAGTATCCAAATTCAAATATTTTTACCATACATTTCTGCAGGTGCTTATCTTGGCATGACCGGGAAAAGGATATCCACGCCATCTGATGCTCTGCTCATGGGTCTCGGGACACATTACGTACCTTCTGAAAAGCTGCTTTCCCTGAAGGAAGCCTTTTTATCCGCTGAGTTGTATGTTCTCACGGACTTTCCTTCCCTCTTTTTATTCATATGAAACACTTCTTTCACACTTCTAGTAGATAAATAGGCGCCTCCTCACATTTGTATTTGTCCTTTGGATAGAATATGCATCAAAGTTTCATGTCCTTTGGATAGAATCTTCTTCTTGCTTTTATTATTATTGTTGGTTGTGCAGTTCCAAGGATCCTCATCAGGACATCCAAGCAACTTTATCAAAATACAGCAGCAATCCTGAGTCCGAGAGCCATCTGGAGAAGCTTCTGCCTCAAATAGAATCAGCATTCAGTGCAAATAAGTCTGTCAAGGAAACCATAGAAGAGCTCAAGAAGTGCCAACAGAGCTCTGATGCCTCAGGTATATAACATTATTCCATGCGCTTTTTTTTTTCTTAAATTCTCTCCGTCCGATTTTCTCTCATCTTGGTTTTATACAGGTTTCAAACCTCTGAAGTTACAATGTCTCGTTTCTTTTTTAAATCTCGGCTTCCGAAAGATTATGTTACCCGTGAGATACTCGAATTCAAAGTTGAAACTTTTCGTGGCAAATGTTTTTCTTGTTCCCTTAGTTCTGTTAAGTTACTGAATACGAAATCCTTAACGTTACACTGATCTTTATCGAACACGATGTCTGTTCACAGTCGTGGAATGGGCAAACGAGGCTCTCCAAGGACTGGAAAAAGGAGCACCCTTTTCTCTTCACCTAACAAAAAGCTATTTCTCCAAAGTCGCATCCGCAAAGGGTAAAAGCGGCAACGAGTTGGCAACAGTGAGTTCGGACGAGGAAACGTTCCCTTCTACTAAGCCGAGTTTCTCACCATCCATCACAAAGACTTAATAATGCTTTTTTCTTCTTTTGTTTTTATATGGTTTCCCCGTCTTGAAGCTCGACGGCGTGATGAAGACCGAGTACCGCATCGCCCTAAGGTCCGCCCTGCGAAGTGACTTCGCCGAAGGCGTTAGAGCGGTTTTGATCGATAAGGACCAGGTTTTTCATTTTCACCATCCCGCTCATATCTCTCGTATCATTCGTATAGTTCCTTCGCCGTTGGATTCACCAGTTTTTTTTTTTTTTTTTTTTTTTTTTTTGCGCAGAATCCGAAATGGAAGCCAGCGAGCGTGGATGGGGTAGAGGGAAGTGAAGTGGAAGCTCTGTTTAAGCCGCTGAGTTCAGGAGTCGAAGAGCTAAGTGTCTGAATCAAATAACATTTTCCTTGTCCGAATCAAAAAAGAACCTTGTCGGATTTGTATTGAAGCTTTATGTCGTTACCACTTCTTAACGTTCGCTTTGGAAATAAAATCCCGCGTTTTTGGGAATTTTCTTATCTTGTGATTTCAGTTTCCTCTTTCCAATAAAAGATTAAATAAGGTATCCCTTATTCAGTCAAAATTGACTCAACTGATTAAAAAAAAAGGTAAATTTCTTAATCTATATTCGAATCTTTACTTGAAAAAGCCAATAAAGGTTTTGTTTTTCAATAAAGGTTTTCACATGAGTTTTCCTAAACTCTAAAATATAATCAGATCAAAGGTTTGATAAATTTTCATATTATAAAAAAAATATCTATTATTTCGGCCATTACAAGATTCGAATTCGAGACTGTATTTTAAAAACTATTCTTAATAAAAATTATGATTTTATATTTTTTGGAAATTTTATAATTTGTATATTTATATGAGTTTTTTTCTACAAATTTCGTATATTAATATAAGATTTTGATTTTTTTTCGTATTATTTATGCATTTATTAATATATTAAAAAATCAAGTTGAATTACGGACAGGCCCTTTATCTCAAGTTCTGGATCCTATGATTTGTTTTATTCAAGAAAAAGGGTGTCCTAAATCCTACTATGAATATTCCACGTAGGTATAACTCCAAAGGCATATGATGACAAAAACAGACAAAGGACCTTCGTATATTAAAAAATATATTTATCATTTTTTAATAATGAATATATTCCGGAGTACGCATTCGATTCCGTTTTGGGATTAGATTCCGATCGGTTCGATTTTTTTTAGATCTAAATAATTAAATTTAAAATCCGATCTTATAGATTATGGGTTTGGATTCGTATCGTATTAATTTTTTTATTTTTATTAAATATTTTTTTTTAAAAAAAAATTGGATTTTATCGGAAATATTTTTTTTCGGATCAAAATATTTAGATTTGAAATCTATTATTTTCGGATTGAGTTATATGGAATTTAAATATATGAAAGATCCGCACACAAAATTGGCGTTGCAAATTGGGCAAACACATTGGCTTAGTTTTTTTTTATATTAAATGTAAAAAACCACCGACCCTATTCTTTTTTGCTAAACAATTTTGTTTTTTTTTTCCTTTTTTATCATCGATTATTTTATTTTGATATCCTCATTCGTTATAGATTATTTATGAAACCACTTTTCATGATTTTGTCACAAAATTTATTTAAAAAAGTATTAGATAAAACGAAGATGAAAAATATGTGTATATCTATCTACTTGCAGGGGAAATAAAGTTAAAAAGAAATCTTTTGCACATATATCTTATCTTATCTCTTAATTTTTCTATTTCTCTTAAAATTGCAAGTTTTTATTTGAATAGATACATACATATACAGTTTTCATATAATGATTAAAAATAAACTAAAAACTCTCTTTTCATATCATAACATTTATAATTTTAAATAATCTTTGGATTTTATTTTATTATAGATTGATTAGTCAGTAGATAGATTGTAAATATAAATTATAAATTGCAGAACAGAAGACAGAAGCAGAAGGTGATAGACATGTGGAGCATAGAGATTGGAGGGCGAGAACTTTGAAAGTTCCAAAACGGTTTCAAATATTGGCCCCATATTTTTAATTTATCAAACATTTGACCTAATAATTTCATAAACTTATAATTGAGACCCCTATAGAGTGAGTAAAACCCCTAAAAAACCTCCGACTTGCAAAAATATATACAAATAAACCTTCAACTTGAAAAACTACCATTCAATCTCCGAACTTGTAACTTGTCACTGAATAAAACCTCGAACTTGTAAATTATTGCTCTAATAAACTTTTGACCGGTTTGTTCACAATTTCAGGCGATCGGAAATCTACGTATTAACGGATTGCTGATGTCACCTTATACACGTTATCAATTTTAATTTAAAAAATGACATCAGCAATCCGTCAATACGTGATTTCTGATCGTTTGAAATTGTGGTCAAACCGGTCAAAGGTTTATTAGAATAATAATTTGCAAGTTCGAAGTTTTATTCAGTGACAAGTTATAAGTTCGGAGATTGAATGACAATTTTTTAAGTTGAAGGTTTATTTGTATATATTTTTACAAGTCGGAGGTTTTAAGGTTTTACCCTATATAGAGAGTTGGGACGAGGGGAAAAAACAAAACCCTTACGTTATGGGAAATTTCAGTCGTTACCGCCAAAGGAGCCTCTTCGCCATCTTAGTGTCTTTCCTTCTAGGGTTTCGGAATTCTACTCTTTTCCATACAAGCTCATACCGCTTGTTCATCTCACTGAAGCAGCAATAGCCATGGATACGATTTCTAGCGTAGCGAGAAGAACTCGTTCGAATACACTGTTAATTTTGCTCGAACAACTGAGTAAATCGAAGAAAGAGAATGATCAGGTCGAAGATGCGCATGAGGATTCGACGAGGATCGAAACGGAGACGAAGATAGGTTATCGGAGCAATTTTTCTTCTCCGGCACCGGCGAAAAGACGACGGAGACAGAAGAGCGAGGGTGACAACTATGAAAAAGTGTGTTTTAGACAAGAGCGAGAGCGGCAGCATGCGGAGGATGACAATGCCGGTTCTACTTCGGTGAGTTCTCCAAGGTTAAAATCCGAATCGGTTGAGCCTAGGGTTTCAGATTTTGCTGTTAGTGATGAAAATTTTTGCGATGATGTCGACTCTCACCCTAATGAGGTCATTGAAATCGAGGAGTCTTGTGAGGAGAAGACTTCTAGTTTGGCGGGTTCAGCTCTGGGAAGTTCATCTTTTAGTAAGGTTATAAGCCTTGATTCTGATGGAGAAAGCTCTGTGGAGAAGTTAGGGACTGATGGGGAAGATAGTGATAATGATGACTGTAGTGATAAAGATGAAGATGATGATGTTGAGTCTGAGAGTTCAGATTCACTTTACCAGGAGAGTTCTGAGGAGAGTGAAGATTCTTCTTCCGAGGACAGTGCATACACTTGTTCTGAGGACGAGACAGTGGAGGGTGGTGCAGGAATCAGCACGAAAAGGTCAAGGGGAAAGGAAGAGGACGAGACAGAGGAGGTTGTGGCAGGAAACAACACTAAAAGCAGGAAGCGGTCAAGGATAAAGGAACGCCGGGAAAAGCTGAAGGATTTGCGTAGGACGGATAGATTGAACCTGTTTCATCAGCTAGCAAGTTCAATCTTGGACAAAGACAATAATAGTGCCGAGGAAGATGAAAGTTCATGCGATGAACTTGACATGAGTCAATGTGGAGAAGAGGAACCGCCTCTGTTAAACCCAAAATTTGGGTACGATGAGCCTGAACCAGTAGAGAAGTCTGAAGAGGAAAAGGAATTAGACGCACTATGGAAAGAGATGGCCTTTGCTCTAGAATCAACTGGAATAGAATCAGCTGATCCTGTAAAAGTAAGGTTCTCAATTTTTATATATCTTTTTGTTTTTTTTTTTGGTTATGCCTAAGGCTTAAGGTTTACGATTTGTTTTAGGTTATTCTGTAATAATGTCAGCTGCCCTTTATGTTTCAGAATGAAAATGTGTCAGGCACTCAAGCAACTCCGTCGGTTCATTGTAGCTGCGGGAAGCATGAATTCGTGATCGATGAGGAAGTCGGTCTGAAATGTTATTATTGTTCTTATGTGGCCGTTGAGATTAGAAATGTATCACCAGCCATGGTAACCTCCTCATCACTGTAAAAATCTTTGAACTTTAATTGTACTATATTAGAAGATCTTCTAATTTCTCATCTCTTGTTGTTAATTACGATAATTCCTTATGCATTGTACAGGAGAAGTATCGTCGTGGTGGTGGTGGTGTTGACTATAAGAGATATACTGACAGAAAGGATGGTTCTTTGTTTAATAGTCTAGAGCTTGACGATCAGGGTGATTCCATTTCAATGGCCTCCTTGAAAAATACAAAAGGAACTGTCTGGGATTTCATTCCTGGCATCAGGGATACCTTGTATCCACACCAACAAGAAGGCTTTGAGTTTATTTGGAAGAACTTAATCGGCACAACAAGCCAGGAGGATTTGAATAATTGGGGAGTAAGTGAAAAGAATAAGTGCATTATTTCACATTCGCCCGGATCTCGTAAAACACCTTTGGGTGCGGTGGCTGGGTGTGGTGGGTGCATTATTTCACATTCGCCCGGAACTGGTAAAACACGTTTGACCATCGTCTTTCTTCAGGCCTTCTTAAAACGGTTTCCCGATAGCCATCCTGTAATCGTTGCCCCTGCAAGTATGCTGCTTACATGGGAAGAAGAATTCAAAAAATGGAATGTCAAAGTCCCATTTCATAACGTGAATAGCCTGGACTTCTCAGGGAAAGAAAGCAAATGGGCTCACACATTTCTTGAGAAAATCGGGTACCATAGACACGACAAGAATTACATCCGCAAGGTTAAATTATTTTCTTGGTGCAGGAGGAAAAGCATTCTTGGAGTTAGCTACCACCTCTTCGTGAAGCTCACTGGGAAGAAGTGTAACAAGAAACCCGGGAAGAGAACTGGGCTGGAACTTGATAGCGAAATGGAAGAGAGAATACAAAAGTATCTACTAGAATGGCCTGAATTGCTGATCCTGGATGAAGGCCACACCCCAAGGAACAGGAAGAGTCTCATCTGGAAAGCGCTCGAGGGAGTACAAACGAAAAATCGCATAATCCTTTCTGGAACACCATTCCAGAACAACTTTCAGGAACTTTCGAATGTCTTATGCCTAACAAGACCAGCTTATGCAGAGGCGATTTCTTCGAAGCTGAAAGAACTTGGCAAGTGGAGCATGGAAAGGGGACAAAAAGGCAAGGAATATGAACAAGCTGGTGGAATTAAGGGGCTCAGAGCTTTGCTTTCTCCCTTTGTGCATGTTCACAAAGGAAGCATTCTCCGGGAAAGCCTTCCAGGACTACGAGAATCTGTCGTCGTGTTAAAGCCACAGGATCTTCAGAAGAAAATCCTCGACAGAATTGATCGTTGCCAGAATACATTCGAACTCGAGCACAAGCTTTCATCTGTCTCGGTCCACCCGTCTCTTTTCTTGGGCCTTAAAGGGACGAAGAAAGAAGAGATTATCATTGGGAAGTCGATAAAGCAAAAGCTGGAAAGGAATAAACTCAACCTTACCGAAGGAGCAAAGGCGAGATTCCTGGTTGATTTCGTTCGGCTCAGCACATCTATCGACGAGAAAGTATTGGTATTCAGCCAATACCTCGACATCTTATCCCTGATCATGGAGCTGCTCACTACATTATTTGGTTGGACAGAGGAAAGAGAAGTGTCCTCAATGCACGGAAAACTCGAGCTGAAAGAGAGGCAGCGTCTGATCAACAACTTCAATGACCCGGACAGCGAAGCTAAAGTGCTGTTGGCATCGACAAAAGCGTGTTCCGAAGGTATAAACCTTGTCGGGGCATCGAGAGTGATACTCCTTGACGTGGTGTGGAATCCTTCGGTCGAGAGAAAAGCCATTAGCCGAGCTTACAGGCTCGGACAGAAGCGGACTGTTTACACGTACCATCTCGTGATGAAGGACACGCCCGAGTGCGATAAGTACTGCAAGCAGGCCGAGAAGCATCGGATCTCGGAATTGGTTTTCACGTCCAAGGACGAGAGGGATAAGTTGGAAAACTCGCGTGTGGTTAAAGAGGATAAAATCTTGGAGGAGATGATTTTGCATGGGAAATTGAGAGAGATGTTTGACAAGATCATATATCATCCACATGAATCTGATCTGGTGGAAGGGTTCCGGTCCACGGCCTTGTGACTCAGGTATGAAACTTTTACTGATTTCCATTACAATTCCTTGGATTTGAGGACCATATTCTATTTAGGGACTGTAGCTTAAAAAAATTAACTTTTAAAAATTGTCATATACTTTACCCAAATACATGAAGTTTGCAAACTTTATATAGGTTTATGGTAATTTTTATAAACTTTATGTATTTTTATAGAAGTTTCAAAGTTGGATGTATCTATCTTACAGTTTTTGAAAATTCATGTATTTTCAAACTATTGTCCTTTCTATTTACTTTTTAGTAATTAAAGTTTTGGAAATAATATTTTTTGCAGGAACCCAAAAAATTGAAGGGGAAATGTCATCAAACAAGCATTAAGATCCATCCACTCTGCACATTTCATCTGATGGGTCTAAACCCTAAACCTGAGAAATTGCATATTAAAAGGCATTTGGTAAATGGCATTGAAACCTGTGAAACAAGAAACAGAAATTCTCTTTTTTTCTACATTTAATCTCCACTTGACTTTGATTTTTTTTTTTTTCCAATTGGCATCCATTGGACTTTATTTAGCAAGTCCGTACAATTAAATGGGCTGTATAGTGTAATGGTTTTTTTTCCCGTAGTATGGATATGTGAGGCCCAATGGGCTTAGCCTTTTTTAATTCAACGCGAGTGGAAAACAACACAGCAAGCGGCAAGAAACAATTGAAACGCCACGCTGTTCACTTTTATGCAAACAAAACGGAGAAGCAGTGAACGAAGATTTACGAAAACGGCATGCTCTTCTAACTGTATGTACAATGCGACGCATACATTCCCTGAACCTCGGAAGATTTTTTTTTCTTCCTTTTCTGGTTTCGCGGATCGAACTCGTCAGATCAAAATTCGAAGAGAAACCCTAAATTCAAAAATCCTTCTGCTTTCAGAAAAAAAAAACCCCCATAAAATCGCCGCAATACGTGGGCCCCAGACCATGATTATTCCGGTGTATGTACATAACCGGACGGAAGGATTTCGCCGGAGATCGAGGGGAGATCCATTGGGAAGGTGCCACCTGGAGTGAAAGAGAGAGAGATTCAATCGGTAATGGCGTGGTCGTGCCAGCAGAGGAGCATACAGACGCAACGACGGAGGATATAGAACCGGGCTTTCTGCTGTTTCGCCATGTGTAAGCAGCGCTCTCGGAAACCGGATTTCCGGTTCGGTTTACCTGGTTCGGACCGGCGGGAATGCAAGAGAGAAGAACGAGACATGTATTTCTCTTCTTCTTCTTCTTCTTCTTCTTCTTCTTGTGTGTTTGGGTGTGTGTGTGTGTGTATATATATATATATATGTATGTATGTATACTTTTTTTTTTTCTTGTGGGTGAGAGAGCGAAGGATTGTTGTGGGTATTAATATGGAGAAGTCGGACGCGGCTGCTACATGGACCCACCCACGCTTTCTAGATTCTGATGCTCCTTCTTGGAAATTCCCCACGTTTCTCATTTATTATGTGTATATATATATATTAAAATTAGATATCATGGATTTATTATGGTTTCGTCCAGGGATGCGTCGTTCACTTCACTTTTTTTGAATTGAACGGTATCGAATCCAAAATCTCGATGTTTTTTAAAACTGTATTATTCAAAATTTCTAAATGTTATATTTTTAATATAACTGAATTTTATCTAATCGAACCAAACCGAATTTTACAAAAGTTTTAAAAAACCAAATTTTTTTAAAAAAATCTAATTTTTTTAACAAAAACCGAACAAAAAACTGGAACCAAACCAAACCGAGTCGAATAATATACAGTACTAATTTGATACAATTTTTAAAATACCGAATAAACTGTTCTCAAACCGAATTTTATAAAATTCCCGAAAAACCGAATTTTTTCTTGGAAGAATCTATTTTTTTTTCATAAAAACCGAAGCGAACCGTACCAAAACTGAAAACGAACTGAACTGAATAATATACGGTACTAATTTGGTACAAATTTTAAAACACCAAATAAACTGTTATCGAACCGAACCGAAACACGAAATCCACACCCCTAGTTTCATCCTCCATATATCCAGACTTTGTCTGCAATAATATATCGCTTTACATGTATCCATATATTTATTTAAAATCAGATAAAATAGACTAATGCTATCAATATAAAAATCAAACACCTAAGCCTCCCATTTGACTCTTCAACTTTCTAGAGTATCCCATTTGGATTTTGGACAAAAAAATAAAAATAAAGGGAAGATCAAAAGCCTCCAGAAGAAGTGGATACTTATCCATCACTCTTCTCCTTTACATTCTTCCATGCTTTGATTCAACATGCCTCTCTCCACATCAACGAATTCGTGTGCGGAACCAGATTGAGGGGCAAAATGGTCATTTTCAAAACAAGTGGTTTCTATCAAGATATTTGGTTTATGGAAATGGAAACTTTAAATACTGCAACAAAATAAATGGATGTATACAATCAAAATGTATTATAAACTAGAAATACATTTGATATAACTAAATCGAAAAAACTAAACCTGAATTTGAAAGCTAAGTAATTAATTATCATTAGAATTTTAAAATACCTAAATACAATTTATATCTATATAACTGCATCCAATAATATAAATAAAGAAACAAATACAATTATCAATATAAAATTTTCATTACAGTATCATAACATAACTAGATCTTATATAAACATTGGATGATAAGATTTTTTTTTTCTAAAGAATCAATAAAATCAAAGAACCCGAATACAAAATAACAACAAAAAATATCCCAGCGTGGCAAAACGGTAAAATGAAAGTACAAAGTGCTTTTTCACGCTGAGTTCGAACCCCATCTTGGATAAACCATTACAAAAAAAAAAAGAAACTTTTTAAATCAACATCTTTAACAATAAAAATCAATATAAAATCGAATAGATAACTTTTCTAAAACAGAAAAAATCTAAACCGAAAAATAACCGAATCGAACCGAGCACAACAATTAAAAAAAAACCAAACTCTAATCCATTCAGATCGGATATGGAAAAGAAAATGGGAAATATCCCATAATTTGACCACCCTTTTTAAGAACAAGTTGAAGTAGAAGACAATCTTTTCTATGTAAGACCCAAACCATAACTGCAAAGAGGAAACAGAAAAGGGATAAGAAGAAAAGACGTGTCGGGCTCCTCCACTCGACCCCAAGACAAAAAAAAAACGAGTATTGGATCTTTGTCGTATCTAATGGTCCTCCCCCTCCGAAAACGACGTCGTCCTTTGACTTCAAAAACCTTATTTACATTTATTTTATTTTGTAATTAGTCGTCGTTAATAAACTATTAAGCAACATCCTTATCTTAATCATTTTTTACAAGCTTGTGTCACTAAGCTTTTGTGTCGTAGTATATGTTGAGGAGTTTCTCTGTGTACTCTCCAAACGTTAACACTTCATTAGAGGGTATTAGCTGCACACAAAAACAAACACAATCAAATAATAATAATAACAATAACAATAACAATAACAATAATAATCATTTACAAAAGAAATGTTACGTGCTTTAAGGAGGCAAGGCACTTGTAATACTTATTGGAATTACGAAGAATTTCATTTTGTATCGAGTTTAGATATTACCATTCACATTGGATTTTCAAATCCAATTTTTTATATGAATTAGGAATTATATTATACTTAACCTCGTTTGAAATATTTCCTAATAATACACAACGCTTTTGCAGATAATTTCGAGATATAAACTAATAACGTGTATTGTATAAGAAAGACGTACCCCTTCATGGATTGCGACTTCTTTCGGGAAATTTAGCTTCTGGTCCCTACACACACGAAAAGAAACGCCATATTATGATCTTGTTATAAATTTATAATATCATTTCGATCGGAATGTTTGATTTTTATTAAGCTTATATTAAACAATTAAAATGTATTTGTTAGAAAAATTCACCAGTCAGGCTGCATAAACAATGCAAACGTCGAACGCTCTAGACCATGAGCCCCGTCTCCTTTCGGTGCCTAAACACGACCATTTCAAGAAATCCGGATTATCGTATAGTCCGAAAGAGCATCCAAAGGAGGTGCGGAAATTTTACCCGGACGCAGTGAGGAGTTGCGCAAAGGTATCCTCTGGACAGAATCATCGTTGTCTCGCCGATTTGGTATGCAATCTCATCTTCACCATATACAACCTAATATATGTACAGAGACATATGGGAATGTATCTGTAAGATTTTACCTGTTTTTATGTATCTGTTACATGATGATGATGATGATGATATCGGGACGAAAACAATGTGTACTTGCGTACCTTAACAATGTGACCAGACCGTGTTTGTATGTATAAGCCAGCGGAATGATCTGGGCACGGCACTTGGGCCGAGTTTCTTGAAAATATCGCACGGGTAAGACCCGTGAGGGAACCGTGGTCTGTGTGCCATCCGCACCAAGAAGACATCGAGTCATTTTCCTCTGTGTTGCTGTATGAAAAAAGGACAAGATCGATCCATCAGATAATTAAATCTTACCGCACAAATGACAAAAATTTCTACCCTTCAAATGGAAGAAAACATGTGTTTAAAACAAAGAAAGACGGAGGAACTTTGCAAATGGAATTACCTGTCCTGCGGAGGAAAATAATAAAGCAATCGGCCTTTGTGACACCGAGAGCCGAGAAGTATATTTTCGAGATTCTGGCTCTCATGTTCTTTTATGCCCTTTGACACTGCAAATCTCACAGAGATCATTCAAGAAGGCATTACAGAAAAAGAAGTTTTCGAAGAATCGACACAAGGCTGATTAATGTTTAATAGAGTTCAATCCACATATGATTCCTATACGATATGCAGCATATTGAAAACTCGGCGACAAACTTCTGCTTTCTATGAAATCTTTCATCGATTCTTTCTTCTAGATAAATATCATTCCACCCAACGTTCATGCCGTTCATTCCACCCAACTAAAGAGGGTAATCTAAGAGAGTATCAACACCCAAACAAAAATTACATACCATATCGATCACAGTGATATGCTATCATCAGTCCAATGTCGAACATCAGCTTACCAAGAGCTTTGAAAGCTGTCATGCATGAAGTAACATCGTATTATTCGATGACGGGTATAAACAAGAAAGAAGAGATACGATGAAAGCAATCCTTGAGAGCAGTCAACCTCAATCGAATTCATGCTTAAACTCTAAACTCGGTGGCGAATAATATGAGATAATTAAGAAAAGACATAAAAAGGAGCTAAGATACTCATTAATGATAGTATATCATTGACAAATCCAGCTCTGTGACTTCAACAACTAATTTCCCTAAGTAAATAGGTACAAAACAAAGATCTTTTCCAAGTGAAACAAATTAAAGATGGGCAAAAGGCAAATCACGGATCACCTATTTACCTCCTTCAAGTTCCGGCAATGCATTTTCAGGCCATATGTTTGATCCGCAATACCATGGATACCTACAAGATGGACTGAAGTGAATAAATAGGAAAACTCGGATTACTTTTTATGCAGAAGGCAAATTAACGATCAAAATTACCTGTAGAAGGCGATGTAAAGTAATTTTACTATTAAATTTCTAGGAGATTACAAATCCATGTACATTGGCTGCTTCAACGAGAGCATAGCCAGCCAACTAATATGTCAGCACATTTCCACTAATCTGCCTTACCCAAAAACATCTGAAACATGTTTGTGGTATCAGTGATCTTTACCGTTGGATTTCACACGTGTTAGTGGTGGGCACATCTAGTAGCGGATTAGCATAGAAAGATCCCTTTAATGTGTCTGCACAAACAAGAATTCAACTTCAAGTTACCACTTTAACTGGGGAAAGCTATAGAAATGATAAGCCTGTCATAAAGAAATATCAAAATGCCCACCAATTTCAACCTCTTATAAACAAGGAACATAATCCATGGCTGTATCTAACGCCTGTGGTTTTCTAGTAATGGCTAATTGAATAGACGACAATGTGCCATGTAGCAAAATATTTCAAACACTCCCCAACAATAGCTATCACAAATTAGTTATCAGGAAGTATGGAAGAGAAGAGTTTGGTATTTCAATCCTCAAGGAAATCTACAGTGGTAAAACAATCTATAAGCTCACCAAGCTTTCCAGATTCAAGTTTCTCCTTTCCATGACTCCAACCAAAGTTGTACCTGAGGGAAAAAGAAAAAACCGGGAGGAGAAAAACGAAGTTAAAACCATAGAAGTAATGGGTAAGAGATGCAAGTTATACATACTAAATGAAACCTACCCTCTGAAACTACGACCACTGGAACATGGCAAGGTGAATATGGAGAAAACATGAACATAAGTACTTAAGCTGAACATGAGAAATCTGAGCCGGTTTTTCTCACCTACTATGAGGATCTTCAAGGTCCCTCTTCACCTCTTCTGGCAGCCCGGCCAACCTTTTAACATGAAACATCTATCTTATGTTAAGCTTTGTTGTTTGTACTCTACTAAATCGTGTCTGGTGAATAAAATCATGTACCTAGGTGCAAGACGAAGAAGATTTTGACGGAGAGAGGAATATCCTGGAACCTAGAAGGGGAAAACGTCAAGCTCAAACGAGACTGATAAATTATGCGACTTTAAGGAGAAAATGAGCAAATCGCGATATGATTTACAAGAATAATCAGTTTAGATCATATGAGTTGGACAAGTTATCAATGCTTAACTTGATGTTTATCACAATCTCTCTCTAATCATAGACAATCTCACACTGATAATGAATTATCAACCCGTAGTAAATTTCGGGGGAGATGGTAAAACTTGATAGCTTTTGCCCTAACCCAAATGAAGATCAGAATCAGATAAGCTTGCTTTTCACTACTAGATTATGAAAGCTAAAGGCTGTACGCCATAGAAAACATCAAAATGTATGAGAAGAACATAACGAACAATGATGTTGTGAGAATTGTTCCGTACATCTTTTACAGACAGAATCCCTAGTCCATTTGGTCCAAAACCTTCTTCAATCTTACCAGACAAATCAGTGTCCCTCTCCTACAACAAGTGAATCGAAAGACAGAAGAAAGTTAGAGAAATGCCTCGAAGTGCAGAGTCATACGACCAGAAAATCTACGATTTCCTCGGAAAATGAACAAACTAAGAAACATTCGCTGACTACGAAACTAAAGGATCACTGATTCTACCGTTAAACAACCAGACCGTACCGAAATCTATCATTTTCGTGCATTTTCTCGAGAGCCAAACAGCTGAGAAACTGACCTTGAGCTCCGAGTACGATATGGTGACAGTTCTGACTGCCGGAACAGGTGATTCCGGCGACGAAGACATCGCGCGGAACGTAATCTGGCGAGAACGGATTCCGGCGGGACAGGAACGGAACCGGCGGCGAGAAACGGGTTTACCGGAGAGGAGGGCCGGAGCGAGCAATCGAGCAGCCATGGCGACGAGCTGACACTTTGACGGAGAGAGCCCTTCGACCTAAAGCTGACAAAAAGAATAATCAGTCAATTCGGAAAAAAATCAATTGTTATTTAAAATTAAAATTGATTATTATTACATGGAAATTTGACCCAATTTTGATAATAAATCTTTAAAATCTTACGTTACCAATTGAATATTAATTTGGGGTAAAGCTCAATTCAGATGCTGCCAATTTCAAAGATTTGATTTGATTTTTGTTTAATTATAATTAAATAAGTTAATTTTCTTTCTTGTTGTGGCGAGAAAAAGACTTTTTATTGTTTGTTTGGTAATGTTATGGATTAACCAAATAATAAAATCGTATTTATTATAAATTGTGGAATAAATAGATTGAAAATATAGAAAATTGTAATATTATAATATTTAGAGAGAGAAGTTCTAATGCTCAACAATTAAAATCCTTTTCCACTTTTCGGAGCAACCCAATCTGAGACAGAGGTATTATGTTGTCGGGAAGGAAATGGAGTGAAGAAAGCTGTCACAGAGAGAGAGAGAGAGAGAGAGAGAGAGAGCACTGTTTCAGCCATGGCCGACAAATCGGTCCCATCGACCACCAGATCCATCATCATCATCATCACCGATTTCATCCCTCAAATATCACAATTTGAAGACTCGTCGAATACATTTTCTCAACACCTCTCTCTCTCTCTCTCTCTCTCTCTCTCTCTCTCTCTCGCGTCTCTGTTCTCTGTGATTCTGGAAGAAAGGCTCTGTTTCAATGGGTGATGAAGGAGGGTCGGAGGCGGTGGAGCTGGAGCTGGGACTCGGGCTCAGCCTAGGCGGTGGCGGCGGGTGGGGCGCGTGCGGGCGGATTCTGACAGCGAGAGACTTTCCCTCTGTTGGGTCGAAGAGAGATGCCGAGTCCGTCTCTCACGACTCTGGCGCCTCTCCTCCTCGTTCCAGGTCCTTAAAGGCTTCACCTTTTTCTTTTTCTCTTTTGGGCGGGTTTCTTACAGTGGTTTCAGTCTAAAAATAGCCAAGATTCACACACAAAAAACAAAACCCTAATCTACATTTGCCCCCCCCCCCCAAAAAAAAAAAAAAAAAATCTGAAATCTCTCGTAAAACGACGTTTTCTCAATTTGGGTTTCCTGTTTTTTGGGAAAGTTCAAGTTTTTTTTTTGTCACTGAGAGATTTGGGTAACTTTTGTTTCTGGTAACATCACATCAGAAGCTAAGTTATGTTAAAAAAAAAATCTTTATAATGAAAAAAAAAACAGAATCTTTATGCTTAGAATGAGGAACTCACGATCTGGATTGATTGGTTTGATGCGCAGTCAAGTGGTCGGATGGCCGCCGATAGGGATTCACAGGATGAACAGTCTGATCAACCAATCCAAATCTCTAAGGCCGGAAGACGACGAATCAGAACGAGATCAAGAACACGAGAGAAACAGCAACGAGGAAGAAGACGATGATCACAGCCATGGAGATGAAGACCCGAGGAAGAAGACGGCGAATCGGAGGAAGCACGAGAAAGCGAGATCTGGGTTTGTGAAAGTGAATTTGGACGGGATCCCGATCGGGAGAAAAGTCGACCTGAATGCTCATTCTTGTTACGAGAGTTTGGCTGTCGCTCTTGAGGACATGTTCTTCAGCTCCAACTCGAACACAACTGGTCAGTTCTGTCTTTTCTTGCGCAACAAGTAACAACCCAAAGATTAGCCATAGATGACATTTACGAAGCTAAACTTGGAGATATCAATGAATGAATGATGGCAGGGACATGTTGTGAGAAGGATAACCAGAAGAAACCGAAGCTTCTAGAAGGATCTTCGGATTTCGTACTGACTTACAAAGATAGAGAGGGAGATTGGATGCTAGTTGGAGATGTTCCTTGGAGGTTTTTTATTTTTAAATTTCATGGAAATTCAAACATTATAGATTTATTTTTTTGGTTATAGAATCATATAATACATTGTTTTTGAATCTTGTAATTAGATTCATGATTTTTTTTGTGTGTGTGTAGGATGTTTGTGGGTTCTGTAAGAAGGCTAAGGATCATGAGAACTTCTGAGGCAAATGGACTTTGTGTCTAAACCCTAGCAAAGTTGAAGTCTTTGCAGAGGTAACTTGTGTTCCAAGTTTCTAGGAGACAAGAAGAGAAACAAGACATGGAGAGGGGAATCAAAGATTATATAGAAGCTTAAAATCAAAGTTTTTTTAAAAAAAAAAAAAAAAAGAAAAAGGAAAGGAAATATGTTTTGTTTGTCATTATGTTTTGTTTGGTCTTTCAACCGTATTTTATATATTTTTGTACTTTTAATTTGCAAAAAAAAAAGGTAATTTCTTACAGGGTTCTTTTTTTTTTTCTCTCTCTCTCTCTCTGAATAGAAATGGTTCTCTTTCTTATGATTTTGATGTATGAAAGATTTGTCTTTTATTCTGTAAATATTGTATTATCCTACGTCTAACAAGTGCTCTTTTGTCTCATGAATCTCTACACGTCCATTGAAATAATAATAAAAATATTTTAAAACGGTAGTTTTATATCATATTAATATAAAAAAAAAACTCCTGAAATGTTTCTTAATTCGACGGTTTGGCTATTATGTGTATAAATGACTAAATTAAGGGATCCATTAAAGTAAAAAAAAAATCTAATAATTTCTGGTAAAAAGCAGACCGTTAAACTACAATCATATCTTAATTTTTTTTATAAAATACGATTTAATTGATATTTCAAATATTAAAATATTTTAAATTAATATCTCAAATATTAAAATATTCCAAATGTATACTTCAAATTATAAAATTGATAACAATTTTCATTTGTTAAGTTCCACCATAAAAAATGAATCGAATTATAAATTGCTTTCGATTTTATGGAGTATTAATTTAGAATATTTTAATATTTATGATATCAATTAAAAATATTTTAATATTTGAGATATCAATTAAATTAAATTAAATTAAAAGTTTAAAGTTTGATTTAAAATAAGAATATCTTAATCGAAACTGATAGTATGATCTAAAATAAGTCAAAGGAACACTCTTAATTTTATTTTAACAGATCCAAAAACATTAAAGATGGGTAGAAGGAGAAATTATATATTTTTTTAATTGGATTAGACTTAGTATTTTAGTTAAGAACAAACTTTATGTATACAAATACTTAGTATTGGATTAAAGATGGTTGATAATTATTTTACAAATCTTGGCGTAATACTTTGTTTATAAACAACAACAACAAAAAAACGAAAAGTTTTAAATTATGTGATGGATTATTGCATTGAATAATGTTTTTTATTTTGAAAAAGAGATTTTGTAAGAAAATAGGAGTGATTTATGAGACAAAGGATACGAGGATCAGACAACAAGTGGTGGTTCAATATCATGCAATCATTCTCCTTTTCCAATAGTATCCCCCATTGAGAGTTTTTTATTTTATTTTAAATGTTGTTCATTTACATTTTTTAAATATATAATAACAAACAAGGAAAAAAAAAACAAAGAGGCAAAGAGATCATATCTGCTTTCTATCGCCGATTATTAAGAGAGAAATCGATTTTTTTTTATTATCAAATTTAATTTACAAACCATATATTCATTTTATGTATTTCATAGATTTATTTAATTTAAAAATTTAATATCACACACAATAAATTTCATCAAGTTTAAGCGTGTCCACTAAATATTATCAAATGTCAATGCTTATATAATTATAAGATTACCAAAATTTTGTGGTCCAAATAAGAATCTGCACTCTTCTTTCTATATATATATAGTGGTCAACTTTGTGAGTATACCTTGATATACCACGAGTGACTCATTGCCCTATAATACAAATCTAGACTCTATTTTAAAATTTGATTGGTTAAAACAAAATTATCTGAAATCGAGGTGAGGACTTTGGAAAAAAAAATTGAATAAAAAGGAATATATATTTATATAATGAACATTTTTTAATAAAAAAAAAATTCTAAGTATCAATACTACTTTAGAAGGTATGATTTGATACGTAATAAATCAAATGTAATAAAAAGCAGAACTGTTGAAAATAAAAATTTCGTTTTAACTAATGATTAATTTCTTTAAACCTTTTGGGCCATGATTAAGCCTTTGTCTAAAATCTCGATTGACTATAATTTGTAACTACGCCTTTCGTACAGACACGGCATTAGCACAAATCCCTCACGCTTGTTTTCTTTTCTATTTCTTTTTCCCCTTTTTCCCTCATCATATCCAAAAAATACAACACAAAATCTTTTAATATATATATATATATATATATATATATATATATAATTGATTAATTAGGTTTTTGTCTGAAACCTTGATCAAACCCGCAACTAAACATTTCGTACAGACAAAACATCAACACAAACACCCACGCTTTGTTTCTTCTGTCATTATTGTTATCTGTCTTGGAAATTGTTTCAACATATAAAAAATATTTAGGAAAATTATCAATTTTTGAAGATCAATATTTAAACTCTTTTTTATCCCAAAATAAAATACGAAATCCACTTTTTTTTTCTAGTTAAGTTTTTCTTTTGACCAATGCCACCGCATCAGCGACACCTAATAAAAATTTACACAACATCATTTTTTATTTTTAAGAAATTAAATATTTCTAAAAATCAATCAATATTTAAAATAAATTAGAAGATAAATAAAAAATATACATACACACATATATAAATATACACATACATATATACACATGTACATATGTAACTTGAAACTTAAAAAATATTGGTGTATTCAACAAAACCAAACTTCACTTAGTCTCTACCTCCAAATACAATATCATTCATGGATCACCAAATATTACATCGGATTCTTGCATAAATACACTCTTACACCAATACACACACCCACAAGAAAGTATTAGGGTTATTATTATTATTATTATTACCGGTTTAGGGGCATATCTTACTGCAAGAACTCTCTTGGGTCAGTGACAAAACCGGTTATGGCAGAAGCTGCGGCCGTGAAGGGAGAGGCTAAGTATATCTGCCCTTCCTTATGCCCCATCCGGCCAGGGAAGTTCCTGTTGGTCGTTGAGACACAGACCTGCAACAAAGATTTCATCATGATCTTATATTATTTACCATCTTTTATATTGTCCTATCAGTCAATCTTTCTACTCTACCTAGACATAGAACCGATGCCAAGAGCTGTGTTTTTTTATTACCAAAAACGACAAAACTCGTACATCAGCTTAACGGGTAAGCGCTCGATATTACTGTGGTAACGATGATTCTATATTCTATACCATTGATAACCCGAGATTGTATGCCTAACGAGGTCATGTCACATCGTTCTACTGAATGCAAAATGATGACAAGAGAGCATTTTGGTTACACAACAGAACTCAACCAACTTAGCATTCCAATCAGACCAGGCATGCAAAAGCTTGACTAAGATGACAGAATTTCACCCTTATTACTAAATTCCTAGAGCTAGATGAAGCACGGCTAAGTTAGATTAAGGCAAGACACAGAGGAAAGAGAGCATGCCTGAGGTTCATTCAAACGGGCATAAGTGTCTAGTGGTCCGCCAATGCAAGCACCACAGCTAGGACTAGTAGGTGTGTCACAGCCAACATCTTCAAATATCTGAGCACAGGTCTTTCCACCTGATCCCGGTACCGGGATGGTATACAAGTCCATCCATACCTGTAGAGTGTAGAGTGAAAAGATACAATCAGAGGCATTTAATTTCATATCCTGTGAACAATTAATTCATCACAATGATATATATGGGTATGCAATGGTAAACCTTTTGAGTAGCTGGGACAAGGAAAGTTGGAACCTTGACCTTCTTGCCCTGCAAATGAACAAGTAGATTCAGAAATTTCGCAATTGACTTAGATGATATAATAGGATAGAAACACTGACGCATCAACACAAACAAAAAAATGGAACAGGACTGAGGCAAATTAGATTAGAGAAGTTGTTCGTCAGTACTCAGGAGCGAAGAAGTATTCGATAAAATCCGATCTCAGTTTCTATCACATGTCTATCTAGAAGTAAACAAGATATGGAACTTACTGCTGCAATGAAAACTTTGGCGCCAGCCATAAAATCCTCTGTCTTCCCACCAGTACAAGAGCCAATGTATACTCTGTCGATTTTCACATCTTTGCATTCTCTAGCTAACGCTCGATTATCAGGTGAATGAGGCTGTAAAAACAGAAGCTCGGTTATAATAACCCAAGTGCCCTGTAAACTTTTAAAATATTTTCATTTGTAGCCTCGTTTACACCCACCTTAGCCACCACAGGCTCCAGTTTTGAGACATCAAATCTATATTCAGAAAGATAGCTGTAGGAGAAAACAAACAAAAAGAAGTGAATATAAGAGAAAGCTAAGAGCACAGAAAGACATGACTATGGAGCTGGCTTTAATATGAAAAATCCAATCTCACGCTTAAGGACCTCAAATGCCCTTAATTAGGAGAATACAAATCCAAAATATTCTCCTAATCTCCCAATTAAATCTTTAAAAGGAAAAAGGTTCATTCTAGGACTCGGGAAAAAAAGATGACCTTTCATTTGCCTTGCATGTCTCCACAACCATTACATGTCATTTAGGCAGTTGGCTAGGAAAAGTCTACAAACTATAGTTTCAAGCAAGCCAAGAAGAACAGGTCCAGAGTCTACGAACAAAAATTAGGTAGTGGCTAACTGCTCTACTGAATGTAGATATATTGAAACATGCACTCACAATCTCGTTTACGGATATCATACATCTAGCATATCCAAATTCACAGAAAAGAATCCAAGCACATGATGATCGGAATCCATAAAGTTCGATATGGAAATACCACCACATATTCAAGCTCTTTTTCTTTTGGCTTCTATTTACAATTTGGGATACCATGTGATCATACCTTGCATTTCCATCACTATACACCGGCTCATAGGGCACAGTTGTCCTACTCTGCAACATTTGATCGAAAGTGAGCGAATTTTTGCAAGTACAGCAACAAATCAATAGTGCTTGAAAATTTGTTCACAAGAAGAAGAAATAGCTCCAGACCTCAAGGTACTTAAACGTAGTAACATCAGGTGGGATGACACCATTTTTGCCACCAGCTTCTACAACCATGTTGCACAGTGTCATCCTTTCTTCGATCTAGCAGGTCCAAACAGATGAAAGCAAAGATTAATAAAATTTTACCCTTGTAAATATTTTTATACACAGAGAAGAAAAAAAATGTTTAGAGGCAAACGCAAAATGCTTACATTTAAACTCTCAACAGTTGTACCAGTAAACTCCATGGTCTTGTAAGTCGCACCAGCAACAGATATCTCACCAATAATCTGCAAATTTGGTAGTATGTTCAAGAACAAGAACAAAACAGAGAAGTTCCTGATATCAGAAAACTCATAACCTGTTCCTTTACAACTAGGCCAAGAAAGATCGCCACAGAAGAAGAAGAAAGATACAAAAAGGCCGCTGAGTTTATACAGAAACAGATCTAGAGAGGAAATAACTGCACAATATAATGGTACTTTTCAATTAATGTTGTATGACATATCAAACTCACTTGCAAAATCAGATCCTTGGCAAGTAAATAATCGGGCATTTCACCATCCAAGACAAATCTCAGTGTTGGCGGGACCTGCAAAATCAAGACACTCTTTACAAACTGCAGATAAGGATAAATACAAGGGGAAGTATTCCAGACATTAGCTCCTACTGAATTTGAAAACATGTGTTACTGTGACATACATAGGCTTTTTGAAATTTGAGTTGAACTGAAACCGCCAACTCTAACTCCATTTCACGCAAATGGAAAACTAAACAAAAGAAATCGGCAAAGATATAAACCTTAAGGAGGATCTTTCCAGTGCCCAACACAAAACCAGCATCAGTGTTTCCGATTCCTGTAGCAAATTGACCGAATGCTCCAGCTGTACAGGTGTGAGAATCTGTTCCTAGTAAAACCTAAAATGATTAATGATATCAATTAGTAACTATTTATAAACTTAAACAAACCAGTCATATCATATCATATCCATGCATCAGATTATACCTCTCCTGGCCTGCAATGGCCTTCTTGTGGAAGTGCAACGTGGCATACACCTTTGTAGTCGGGATTTGCCTGTAAATTGATCAGAGGAAGCTCAATATTCCTTATCACAAAGAAACGAAATTTTCATCATATGGTTGTGAGAAAAGTATGAAAGTGTCATACCCTAAAATTACCGCGGTCCGTGATATCATAGAAGTACTTGATATTCTGCTCTGTGCAAAAATCCCGTAAGATGTCCACGTTACGGTTTGCACGCTCATCATTCGTGAATATGTAATGGTCGGGTATGACAACAATCTTCTCCCGGTCCCAAACCTACAGCATATGATTACACATGCCATTGAGTCACCTCAGAGATTTCAGATAGATACATAAGCATATTAAGGTAATCAAATGCAAAATAAATATCTGCATCTCCAAACTCGAGATATGCTTCAAAATGGCTATCATCATAATCCAATCACAGCATGAAAGCAAACTTTTCAAATTTCGGCTTACTAAGCAAATTAAACCAGGTAAATAACATCATCTCAAACTAAGAATTCTACACACCAAATTTCCATTTCAAATAAAATCAGAAGAACACCAGTAAGATTTAACCAAAGGAATCATAGAAGAAAGTGCAAAATTAGCAGGAAAAATGGTAAAGACCTTAGCATTTTCGCCAAATTCTCTCTTGAAGATACCAAAAGCACCAGGACCGCAGACATCATGGGTCATTAGGACATCAACATTAACCCAAACGTTATCACCAGGGACCAAATGTGATTTCTCTGCTGCCCTAGCTAGGATCTTCTCCGTCATCGTCATCCCAGTTTTCACCTGAAAATCCCAAAAAAAAAAAACCACCAAACAAAACATCTGAGGAAATAGACAACATAGAAAACAAACCAACCGAAATGACATCAAGAGGAAAATAGCTCAAACCGATCCTGTGGCGCTTGGCTTGCGCTCCGCCTGCTGCGGCGTCATCACCGACACGATCTTCCTGGAAACCGATTTCCTCTGACATCGGTGAGCCGATACATTCGAAGGTTTAGGAAATGCAGAGAATCCCAAATCCTTCTGCATCGAAACAAAGGGGCACAAAAATCAAATCTTCAAAAAAAACGAAGAAACCCTGAGGCATCGATAATTTACGGAGAAAAATGGGGAAAACCCAGAAACAGAAAAGATGGCGGAATCGAAGGAGAAGAGAGCAAAGACACCTTGGAGGTTTTGATGACAACTGAAGCCGGAGAAACGACCGAGGAAGCCATTATTCCCCTTCTGATGATGATGACGACGACGATGATTTCCGGGTTTGGGCGTGTGTAGAACCTAGGGTTCTTCGGCCTTTGTTGATGATATACCCGTAAACGAAAGAGGCGGCTGACGAGGACGTTGACTGAATTGGCAAATGAGTCTATAGGTTAGTGAGACATAATCGCCACGTGGCATTTCCGTGATCCCATTCGGCAAAATGATTTCGATTTATTATCAGTCCAGTTTGAAGACGAAAATCGGTATTTTCGAATATTTAAGAGTTGAAAAAAATATGATTTTGGAAGAGAATTTTTATTTTCGGTTCTGATTCTAATTTTCGAAAACAATTTATATGGCAAATATATGTTGGAATATATAACAAAATATTCCAAACAAATGTGATTTAATGTTTGATAGGAATTTTTATAACGTTTTTTATAATCGAATATATTGAATCAAAATTTAAACTAATCTAGCACTTCTATAGAAGTGAACAACTTTGTGATTTTGAATGACCGGTTGGATCGTTGTTATTTCCAAACGGAGGAATTATAATTTTCAACGGTTGTAAGCGATTAAAAAACTGATTAGTTGAATTGTAGATATCCACAATTATAACTACATTTATGTTTTCTAATCGCAGTTTAACGTGTGTTTTGATAACGGTTTCTAACGTTTCTAAAAAAATCTAAAATACACTTATTAAAAAGTAATGATGATTTTATTTAGTATTATGATTTAATATTATTTTTAGTATTATATTATAATAAAAAAATATAATAGTATCATCTGATTATATAATTTTTAGGTTTAATAATATTTTTTTAATAATTTTAATAATAAAATTATTTTTTACTTAAAAATAAATTAAAACAT